AAGCTCCTGGGAGAGTCACTGGTGCTAAGGCCCCATTCAAAGGCCAAAGAAGCTGAAGTCTGGTGTCCGAAGGCAGTGGTAGCAGCAAATAAATAAATAACATAAACGGCACCTGCTCAAATTAGTTGCGAGTGCACACAGAGCTGCTCCCTTCTGCTTTCTGTTCCATCCCATCCTCAGCCTGATGGACAGGGGCTACCCACATTTGGGGTGGGCTTTCTCCCTCTTGCTGACCCTCATGCCAGTCATCTCTGGAACCACCCTCACAGACACACCCAGAGTGTTTCACCAGTTGTCCGGATGGCTCTGAAATTCAGTCAAGTTGACAACGGAGAGTGACCATCGCAGATAGTTTTGAGGAAGCACTGGGGGAGGAAAAGGTGAGGCAGAGTATGTGTTACCGTTCATGTGGGAAGAAGGGGAAATACTATTATAAGACTCAGAAAGACAAAGCACAGGCAAATACAGATGATTGATTATGGGGATGGGAATAGGGTGGAAGAGGGAAGAGGCTGAAGCTTACATGTACATACACATATAATATTGTTTCAATTCTGGAATTGGGGTTTTTATATTAAAAAAATTAAAAATTACATTTCCTAGTTTTCCAGTTTATAGATCTGCAAATCCAGGCCTCTATCATCACATGAGCCAATTCCCATAATAAATCAACATGTATGCCCTATTTATTCTATTTTTCCAGAGAACTCTACTATTTTCCTTTTAATCATTTTTAAATCCTGTTTTTCATGCTCAGATCTTTAATTCATCAAGATTTACCTCTTGGGTATGGCATAGGATAGGGATTTTTTTTAAATCTTCCCACAGAAAAACAATTTTCCTACTCATATTTATTAAACACCCACCCTTTCCTGCTGGTTTATGAGGCCATGCCTATTCACATCCCAAGATCTTCTAATCTTTGAACTATTTATGGACTCTTTGTTCCGTTCCACTGATCTATCTGTTTGTTCTGCATCAATATCCACAATTTTAATTACTCTAGACTTAACAATGCCTTGACTTCTGGCACTCACTCTTTTACAGAATTGGGTTTGGATTATAACCATTCATCTTCCACATAAATTTTAAAAATGTTTGTCAAAGGGCTACAAAAATCTATTACTAATTTTGTTAGGATCACATTGAATTTAGAGCTCTATTTGGGCAGAATTACCATTTGGAGATTATTGAGTCTTCTCTTCCATAAACATGGTTTATTCAGTTCTTATGTGTTCTTAGATAGACTTCGATAGCTTTTTGGCGTTGTTTTGTTTTGTTTGTTTTTTTGTAGTGCTGGGGGCAGAACCCTGGGCCTGGCACATGCTAGGCAAGCACTCTACTACAGAGCTCTCCCAGCCCATTTTTGTACTTTTTAAATATGACATTGCCTTTTCTAAGTACTGTCTTGCTAATGTGAATGCTCTCTCTCTTCTTTATTTTCCTCCTTTCATTCATATCCTAATTGGTTATTTCTCGTATAAAGAAATGCTGGCCAGGTGTGCTGGCACAGGCCTTTAATCCCAACGGCTCGGCAGGCTGAGGCAGGAGGATCCTGAGTTTAAAGCCAACCTCAGCAACTCAGTGAGACCCTGTCTCTAAATAAATTACAAAAAAAGGGCTTAGGGATGTGGCTCTGTGGGTAAGTACCCCCTGGGTTCAATATCCAGTATGAAAAAAAGAAAAAAAAGCTGATTTCTTTATGATGAGCTTGACTCCAGATACTTTTGCCAACATCCTTATTAGTTCTACTACTTTGCTGGTCTCTTGGGCTTCTCATAACACAGTGACTATGTCCCCTGGCACAGTGTTGAATATGAGTAATGATCATGGGCATCCTTGTTACATTCCTGACTTTTAGTGAAAACGCTTCCCAAGTTTAATCATTGAGAATGATGCTCTATGTGGGCTTTTGGTAGATATCCTTTATTAAAATAATAAGGCTTTTGATTTCTAATTTGCCAAGAAATTTTTATCATGAATGGGTGTTGAATCTTGCTAAATGCTATTTCTGGATCTATTTATATCATATGGTGTTTTTCCTTCAATCTGTTAATGTAGTGAATTAACTAAATTAATATATTTCTTAATGTTATCCCGAAATAAACCCTGCATGGTCATGATGATATTTAAAAGTACAATACTGGGCTTAATGTGCTAATATTGAAATTTAATTAGAATTTCTGCATTTATGTCTAATTAAAGATTGATTTTAGTTTTCTTTTGTTGCCCTCTCCTTATCCAATCTCAGTACTAAGGTTATACCATCTTTACAAAATGAGTAACTGTTTCTATTTTTCTTTTCTCTGGAACAACTTGCATAGCACAAGAGATTTTACTTGGAAAACTGGCCCATGAAATGGTCTAGGTCCTGTAGCTTTTATATGGGGAGTGGGAAGAGTTTTGACTATCTAGTCACTTAATTTTACTATTATTAGTCTTTTCTGGTTATCAGTGTTTGTTAGGTCCATTTGAGTAACTTGTATTCTAGGAAATTATTCATCCCCGTAAATATTCACATTTATTTCATTTTAATTTCATGTGTTTATTTTTTGAGACAGGTTCTAAGTTGCTGAGTCTGGCTTTGAACTTGTGATCCTCTTGGCTTAGCCTCCTGAATTTCTGGGATTACAGGCATGCGCCACTGTACCTGGCTTCAAAGTTCTTGCCACAGAATTATTGGTAGTATTATTCTCCCTTCCCCAACCTTTTATTTATTTATTTGTTTGTTTATTTATTTATTTTTGTGGTGATGAGGATCAAACTCAGGATCTCTTGAATTCTAGATAAGCACTCTACCACTGAGTTACATCCTCAGTATGCTTGATCTTCTTTTAATTGAAAACTTTCTTTTTTTTGTTGGTGCTAGGGATTGAACCCAGGGCCTTATGCATGTGAGGCAAGCACCCTACCAACTGACTTATATCCCTAACCCTAAAAACCTTTTTCAAATATTTTTCATACTTGATACAGTCATATGGTTTAAAATTTTTTTAAAAAATTTCACAATGAACCAGGACAGAAGCTGAGGCAGGAGGCATTCAAGCTTGAGGATAGCCTGGGCAACTAGTGGGATCCTATCTCAAAATATAAACAAACAAACAAAGATACACAATGGACAGACTTGCTCCCATCTGTCTCCCATCTACCAAGTGCAGTTCAACCCCAGGTAACCTCTATTCTTAAATTCTTATTTATCCACTGTCTTTACGCAAATGCAATAAAATCTACTACATCCCCGAGCAATACATTTTTGGGTATATCATAAATGGCAATTGGTTCTGAACCTCCAGGTCCCCAAACTGGCCAGATGTACAAACTTACAGAAATCATTTCATTGAGCTTGTCATAATGTGATCACATAATTCATACCATTAAATTTTTGGAACTTAGGACTTTTGTTTGATTTTTCTATATGTACTTATTTTTTCACCTCCTTCTCAGAAAGATGATATATAGTCTATATACTGATGTGTACCTAACTTTCTCCAATCCATAATACTTCTTAGATCTTATCATATTGGGACGAGAGCTTTCTCATTCTTTTTTAATGCAATGAATGAAATACCTAGTATTCCCATTGTTGGGTGTTTCGTAAATTATCTTACCTGGTCACACTTTGAATTGTATCATTCACAATCTTTTCTATTCTATATAATGCAGAACAAATAACCTTATACATACATCAGTTTGTATGTGAGAGTGTACCTTGAGCTAAATTCTCAGAAATTATGTTGCTTGGTCAAAGGATACGTGAATTTTCAATTTTGAGAAAAATTGATAAATTGAATTCTACAGAGGTTGAGTCAATTTATATTCCTTCTCACTATTTCCCCCAAAGCTTCACCTACGGAGTATATTATTAAACTTTTCAATTTTTGACAATTTGATAGGTGAAAAATGGTATGTCAGTCTACATTTAATTTGCATTTCTCTTATTCTGAATGATGTTGAGCATATTTTCATGTATTTAAGGGAATTAATATTTTCTATGTGAACTGTCTGTTCAAATCCTTTGCTCATTTTTCTATTTGGATGTTGATTCTTTTCTATTGGTTATTTTTAAAAATAATTTTGTAGTTGTTGAGGGGCCTTTATTTTGTTCATATTTATATGAACAAACATATATGAGAACATATGAGAATCAAACCCGGTGCCTCACATATGTGAGGTAAGCCACTGAGCCACAACCCCAGCCCTCTATTGGTTATTGATTATGACCTCTTAACATTTTAGGGGGACTGGTTCCTTTGGGATGTAAGCAGAACTGGCTTTTCCTTAGGTCTTTTGATTTTGCTTATGGTGTTTTTTTTCTTCTTCTTTCTGCTGTGCAGAACTTTATGGTCAAAGTTATAAAATATTCCACAGTTAGGAAGAAATTATCCTGTTTTCTGTGAGTACATTTATAGCTTTGTGTTTTACCTTTATTTAGAACCTTTAACCACTTGGAAGTTTTTCTGGTGATGCTTTGGGGCAGAGAGCCAATTTTCTTCCAGATGGATTCCAGAATTTATGGAATGCTGTCTCTTTTTGACACTGATTTGAAATAGCTCTTCTAACATATACAAATATTTTCTTTTCTTTTTTTTTTTAAAGAGAGAGAGAGAGAGAGAGAATTTTAATATTTATTTTTTAGTTTTCGGCGGACACAACATCTTTGGTTGTATGTGGTGCTGAGGATCGAACCCGGGATGCACGCATGCCAGGCGAGCGCGCTACCACTTGAGCCACATCCCCAGCCCTACAAATATTTTCTTATGTAGTTTCCTCTTGATTGATTTGTATCTATTCATTCTCCAACACTCCACTGTTTTCATGTTTTGAGTTTGTGTGCTTTAAGGTTTGCTTAGTGCTAGTTCCACTTCACTATCTACTTGTTCAACTCTCTTCACCATTTTTGTTTGTTTTTCCATATGAATATTAGAATCAGCCTACTAGTTATAAACCAATCTGCAATTTTATCAATGTTTACTATTTATCTTTAAATGAACTTAGAGAGATGACCTCTTTTTGATGCTGAGTCCTTTATTCTTAGAGAAGGAGAAGTTTATTTTGGCTTACAGTTTCAGAGGTTCAGTCCATAATCAGCCGACTTCATTGCTCTGGGCCAGAGATGAGGCTGAACATCATGGTAGAAGAGTGTGGTGGAAGAAAGAAGCTCAGGACATGGTAACCAGAGAAAGAGCTAATGCTGAGTCTTCTGATCCAAAACCATGGGATGTTTTCCCATTTGTTCAGGTCTCCTCTGGTGCCCTTAAACAGTATTTTAGTTTTCTTCATAAGGGTCTTTGCACATTTCTTATTAAGCTGATTCTTAGCTACTTGTATTTGTTATTGTCTGCCACTTGACATTCATTCTCACATGCTTCTCTGTTCCCTTCTGAATTACAGGGGCTGAAAAGCAAAAAAAAAAAAAAAAAGAAAGAAAGAAAGAAAGAAAAGAAAATCATATTCCCAGAGTACATGACAGAGTTCTGGAGGATTTAGCTCTGACCAATCCCATGCATACGTACAGGAGCAGGAGAATGGAAACGAGAAGGAAACTCCATCCTGCTGCTGTGGTGGCGGCCAAGAACCAAATTTGCCTGGTCTCGGTATTCCAGCAAACGATCAGCACCTTTGTGGACCGGAGGAAACTGTATTGGTGGCAGCGGAGCTGGCTGCCTGACATCTGAATTATGGTTATGATGATAGATTGAAATCATTAATCCCACAACAGCTCTCAACTGATCTTTTAAAATTTTTATCTAATAAAGACTCATATAATGCATAGTATCTGCTAGAAACTGCTAGAAGCAATTTTTAAAAATTACATCTGGATAATTAGACTATTAGGCCTGGTAGTGATTTTGGAAGCAGCTAATTCCCTGTACTCCATTCTGCTAAAAGTACTTGGAATAGTTTTGGGTTTCTGAACTGAATTCTGACTGGTTCAGATTGTTTTTCTTTTTTTTTTTTTTGGTGGCACTAAGGATAGATCCCTGGACCTCATACATGCTAAACAAACACTGTACCACTGAATTACATTAGCCATTAAAATAGGATCTTGCTAAACTGCCTCCCACGTTGCTGGGATTTCAGGCATGCAGTACTGTGCTAGTCTTCATATCCACCTATTCTTTTTTCATTGCCTCCTGATCTTGGCTCACTGATACCAGTCCTCTGTTATATCTTTAAACACTTAAACATATTTTTTTTTATCACAAAGCCTTTTGGATTAGTCTATTATTTCTATTTCTTGATATAAAGTCTCTATTTGTTAGATTTGTAAATTCTTTTTCATAGACCTACACTTTCCTGAGTGCTTTGTAATTTGTGCTTACAGGGATCTAAAGAAGGCCTCACACTAGGGCTTCGGACTCTGGCCCCATTCAGATAGTGTAAGGCCAGAACCTGCACTAGCTCATGGTGAGGTCTCATATGTATAGATGCTTCCCTTCCTCCATGATCACAGACAAGCATCCTATGTCTGGTTACAGCCCCACAGTAATTGAATTATCATTCCCATGGGAGGATTACATGTTCTTAACCTAATAATGTCAGGCTGGATCACATGACTAGCTTTGTCAATAAAATGTAAAGAAAAATAAAGCTGATACTTAGCTACTTGTACTCACAGTTTCAGTTTCAGTGACACTATGAAGCAGAAGCTTTGAGTCTCATGTTTTCATTGTCTTCTCTTTTTCCTCTGACACAAGAATGACAACATTACAGATAAAGGCAGCTCCTTCACCCTGGATCACAAAATGAAGAGGATGTGACATGGAGTTGTAGTCAACTGTGAAAGACATGTAATGTCAGCAAGAAATAGACTTGTGGTTGTGAGGCCTTAAGATTAGAGGTTGTTAGTTATTGATGTATAACAGTATTTAAAATGTTTTGTATCATATATTATTTATCATTCCTTTCTCTCTCTCTCTCTCTCTTTTGTGGTTGTAGCACTGGGTGGGAAATGAACCCAGGGCCTCACACATGCTAGGCAAAAGCTCTACCACTGAGCTAAACCCTTAGCCCATTAGCTACTATTTCTAAATGTTTAGAGTAGGATAGAGAATTATAGATGAGTGTGATGGTGGACATCTGTAAGCCCGGTAACTCAGGAGGCTGAGGCAGGAGGATCACAAGTTCAAGGCCGTCTTAGGAATTTAGCAAGACCCTGTCTCAAAATAAAAAGGGCTGGGGATGCAGCTCAGTAGTATAGCACAGCTGAGTTCAATTCTCAGTACCAAAAAGAAAGAAAGGAAAAAAAAAAAGAAAAAAAAGAAAAAAAAAAAAAAATATATATATATATATATTATGTTGTCTTTTGTTTGTTTGTTTTGTACCAAGAATTGAACCCAGTGGTGCTTAACCACTGAGCCACATCTCCAGCCCTTTTTATATTTTTTATTTTGAGATTGGGTCCTGCTAAATTGCTCAGGCCTCACTAAATTGCTGAGACTGGCTTTGAACTAGTGATCCTCCTGCTTCAGTTTCCTGAGTTGCTGGGATTATAGGCGTGTGCCACCATGCCCAGCTTTTTCTTTACTTATTGTGACAAAATATACATAAAATATACTTAACATTTAATATGTTAAAATGGTAAAGCTTAACCATTAAATTTAACCATTTTAAACGAACAAATGAATGACATTGGGTACATTCACAATGTTGTATAAGCATCACCAGTACTCATTTCCAGAACTTTATCATCATTCCAGATAAAAATTCTATACTTATATACAACAAATTCCCACCCCTCTCAACATAAATAGATTCATACAATATTTGCTTCTTGACACCTGGTTTATTTCACTTAGCATGAGGTTTTCAAGGTTCATCCATGTTGTAGCATGCATTAGAATTTGATTCCATTTTAAGACTGAAAAATATTCCATTTCATGTATATACCACATTTTGTTTGTCCAGTCATCTGCTGATGGACACTTGGTTGTTTCCAATTTTGCTATTGTCACTGTGCTTTTCTGATCTATAAGTAGCCAAAATGCACTATCATTAAAAAAAAAAATTACACAAAAGTACTATCAGCAGATGCCTATTGAGTTCAATTTGGAGTAAAAAAAAAAATTTGCTCACTTTGTAGATTCCTGTATTATTTCAATTGTATCAATTACATGTGATTTTAAAAACTAAAAAAGAGTTTTAAAAATAAATACTTCCTTTTGATCAGAAGAGAGATAGTGAATCACCACGAATGTGTGGGCTTTTTAAAATCGTGGTTAAAAACACATATCATAAACTTCCCCATCTTAATCTTTTTTAAATATGCATGCAAATGTATATTTTTAAATTATTAGGGAAAGCTCGGGTGGCTGCAGTGGTAGTCAGCGAGCCACAGAATCTCCATAAATGAAGAGCAGTTGTTTAAAAATTAAAATCACATCTCAGGAAGCTGTATGTGATTAAATGAGACTCTTGAACATGATACTCACTTTTCTCATCCTTTAATTCTCCTACTCTTCTGTATCAGATTTTATGGCTCACAATGATTAATGATTATTAGTAATAACAGTCCCTTTCAAATAAATCTGAATCTTATCATAGTGGCCCATTCCGAATCTAAATGTGATTAAGAATACACTCAATTTCAGCTATGGTCCCTTGTAGTATAATGCTACTTTGTGTATCTGCTCTGGGTTTTTAACTGAAAATGATACTCTGATTTTTAGCTATTCAAGCTGTGTCACATTGTTCCTGACAGGCCCCTGGAAGTTCTGTGCTGCTATTTCCCAGGTGATCAGAATAAAGTTCAAATGGTCCTTCTTAATATCTTTGCAAAAGGCCAGACCCAAGGAAATGGAAACTTTGAATCAAACGTTTGCTAAATTAGAGCTGGAAGTCCTGGCCTTGGCCCTCAGCTACTCAATACAACTTGAACTTTCAGACTCCTGATTAAAAAGTAAGATCACTCATTGATTTCATGTTCTGGGCTTACTAAGCTTCAACAGAATAAGGTAACTACCCACAGCTGACAAATAGCAGCAGTCAGGAAAAAAATGGTTGGCTGTGTGCACTGGGGTTCAACCCCATCAAAGCCAGCTCTACCAGCAAGAGAACCAGCAGTATGGTCTACCTGTAACCAAGGACTCCAGTGCTCCCATGGGAGAGTCTACCTAAAATAAGGACCCAGGGTCAGGAGACCCAGGTTTGAATTTAGCTGAGCCACAAATAGCTAGAGTGTTTCAGGGTGCTATTTCACAACCCTGAGATATCTGCAAGAGGGGTTAATAACACCTGCTTAACAGGATTGCTGCGAAGACTTAGCAACATCACGTGTGTGAGGGCACGTGCGAGGCTGGCCACCAGCGTCCTTCCTCAACTCTCCAGTCTCTCCATCTATGTCCCCTGGGGGCCACTGCCCACAGTGATAAATCATGCTCTCCAACATCAGATCAGTTTAGACAGTTTGACCTTTTTTGTTTGATTTTATTCTTGCAGTGCTGGAGATTGAACCCTAGGCACTTTACCACTGAGCCACATCCCCAGTCCTTTTTTTTTTTTTTGAGATAGGGTCTCACCAAATTGCCCAGATTAGTCTCAAACTTGCCATCCTCTTTCCCCAGCTGGGGCAAGTAATTGGGTTACAGGGATGTGCCACTGTGTCCAGCTAGTTTGACCATTTTTAGAAACTAGAACTGATTCATTCTGTAAGTCTCCTACATCCCAGGCTGTATTTCTAAACTAGACGAGCCGTTGCTCAAAGTGCTGTGAGTGAGAATAGATCACTACAATAGGCTATCACAAATAATTCAATAGGAATGAAAACCAAATAATGAAACAGTAGTACACACTGACCTCATTCTTAGAAGGAAACAATATATTTTGGTGGGGGGAACTCAGAGATACTCTACCACAGAGCTACATCCCCAGATCTTTTTGGTTTTTATTTTGAGACAGGATCTCCCCAAGTTCCTGAGGCTGGCCTGGAACTTGTGATCCTCCTGCCTCAGCCTCCCAAGTGGCGGAGATTAGAGGCATGTGCCATCATGTCCGGATGAATTAAAAAAAAAAACTTGATATGTAAACATATCACAGAGAAAAAACCAAAAGGAAATATGACAAAATGTTAAAAAAAATGATCGTCTGAGTTTATGTTCATTCAACATGTGTTGAGGCATGATGTGCTGGCTTCTAGGCTGGGTGTGGGGGATACCATAAACAATTACACGTAGAAGGTCATTGTTCTGGTGAAACATCCTAGTTTGCAGATGATAATAAATAAAGGAGGACCAATGGGATGAGAGATCATCTAGTGAATTTAATCTATTAGACAACAAGTCCCCTGGGAAGAAACATTTGAACTAAAACCTAATAAGTAGGTGGTAGCTAAAAAGCAGGGTAGGAGAGTAGGATTATCATTATAGTAAGATAACCCTGACTTTTATTTATTTATTTATTTATTTTTTGGTACTGGAGATTGAACCCAGGGGCACTCTACCACTGAATCACACCCCCAAGCTTTTTATTTTTTGAGACATGGTCTCACTAAGTTGCTTAGAGCCTTGCTAAGATGCTGAGGCTGGTCTTGAACTCTTGATCTTCCTGCCTCAGCTTCCAGATTTTCTGGGATTACAGGTATCCGCCACCTCGCCCGGCCCGACTTTCTTCTTTTTATTTATTTTTCTTAATGAATACAATACTGAGAATCTTTATTGTTCTGTAGGTAATATCTTCCTACTCCAAGGCAAAATACATTTTCTGATCTGTCAATTTCCTAATGTTTACCTGGGGCTGGCTGTGGGCTGGGAGATGCTGAGAACAGAGCTGAACAGCTCAAAATCTTAACACTGGAAAGAACTTTAGAAAATGCCAGCAAACTCTCTTCGTCAAGAAACAGACCCTGAGAGATTAATTAAGCATTTTATCCAGGAGGACAGTGCAAGAGCAGCCGGTCCCACAGCAATGGTCAGATGGTTTGACAAGCTGACTTTCCATTTCAATTTTAAAACTTCTGGTCCAATATATGGCTCTTGATATGGTTGCCCAGAAGCTAAAAATGACTATAAGACATGTCCACTGGTCACCAACATATCACTGCAAGTCTATACTGTGAGAATGCACTGTTCTTCATTTGTATTAGGAAAATGATTTAGTGAGGTAAAATCCTATGCTGGTGAGTCTGTGGCGAAACTGACAATATCAGGCATTACTGATGCTGCTGCCAACCAGAATGCTCCAATCTGAATATCATGTGACAGTATAGTTTCAAATCCATAAAAATGGTAAGACTCTTTGGAACATCTCTAGAACACTTATCCTAAGGAATGGATACTTAAGAGCAATAGCTATGGAGACTCTACAATAAGAGAAAAAAGCCAACCATTGGTGCTGATGTGATTTATGTCCACTCTATTTATAACCATGTCTATGAAGAAGCCCTGACCTGCATCCTTATCCCCAGGCTACCAGAATGGCTTTCTTCAAAGCCCTTATTGGCTCCTTGTTGCTGAATTCAATGGACAATTCAGTTCTAAAGCTCACTTGATTGTGGGGAGACATTCACAACCATACCTCCCGTTGGGCCCCTCAACACACTTTCTTCTGCTGGTCTCATTTGGGGGGTCTCCAAGGACCAAGCCTAGGTTTCTTTCTCTATTACCCAAATACTCTCTCTGAGGCATTTTTCATATCCTTTTCCAAACTAGCTTCTACTTCCACTTCCAGCTAAGGATTCCCAAATCCTGACCATTTGGATGGGACCTCTCCCCAGGGCTCCAGGCACAGAGCCACCAGCCTGCAGCATATTTCCATTTGGATTCTACCCAGGCTCCTCAAAACATTAAGTCTGAAATGGAACTCTTCCCCAACAAAATTTGCTCACTCAGTCTCGGTCTCTCTCGTCATTGCTACCAGATCCACTTTCATCACCTCCTCCTACCTGGATGGTAACAATGGT